AATTTAGCATCACTTGTCACTACCTTTTACTTGTTTTTTAATTCATTTCTGAAGAGTGTGTATATCTGTGTCTTATATACTCAGTCTTTACATGTTCCCAAAATTACAGAAAAGAAAACAGAACTTTTAAGTCCTTTACCCGATAAGATCATACAGATTTATAGTATAAATGAATTGGGAAACACAATTATTTCAGAACAGTCAAAGCAATGATAGTGGCGTGTTTAATAAAAAGACAAGGTGGTTTCAAAAATGGAGAAGTGGTCGGTTTATCTGGAGGTTGGGGTAGAGGGCAGGAGAGAGAAGGAGATGGGCCCTGGCCTCAGTCTTGGAAGTCAAGTGGAAGTTTGTTAGACAGATGAGGACTGCAGGAGAGGGCATCATTCTAGCCAAAGAGAACAGGCTGGGCCAGGACAGTGAGGAACAACCTGCTGTAAGGGGCTGTGGTTGGCAACTTTGTACGGCTGGAATATGGGGAGCAATGGAGCATCATAAAGTAAGGTCTTGGAAAAGTAGGTGAAGATCAGTTGATGGGGAGCTTTGAATGTCATGCATAGAAGTTTAAACCTTTTGAAGCCATACAGGTTCCTAGAAGCCTTTTTAGTAAGAGAGTAACATAGTCAGACACATATTTTAGAAAGATAACTGGAACCTTTTTTTTTTCATGTTTATTCATTTTTTTCTGTGAAATGCAAAGTGAGAAGCACCCTCAACAGGGTTATTTACAATACTTGAGCTCTTTTTAAGTTGATGTGTGTATTCATTTATTCAATTATCAGATGTTTATTGAGCACCACTGTATGTGTATTGGGGATATCTGGAAAAATAAACTATGGGGTCCAGCAGATGGCATAGTGATTAAAGCACTGGACTCCCACATGACTGACTGTAGTTTGAGTCCCAGACTCAGCAGCTAGTGTTCTCACTTTCTCTCTCTGGTAAGCATACATGCCCTAGCAAATTAATAAGAATAATGAGAAATTAAATTTTAAAAATCTAAAACAAGAAAAGAAAAGCCATGACACCACACCTCCAGGAGGGTAGAGTGCCCTCACACACAGAATAGTTCACAAAAATGCAGAGCACTGGATTCATCAGACCCAGAGTCATTGGCCTCAGCAGTGAACATGCAGGAAAAGCTGTGACTTAAAATGTTTGGGACTAGGTCATCATGGAAATGATGGGCCTTGGGCAGATCTAATGTAAAAGGGGAAAAAAGTAATAATAAGACAAAAGAAAAAATAATTTTAAAATTCCAGAATAGGGGACTTGGAAAGGCAAGAACAGAGATGGGGCTGAATATGGACTATTAAACCAACTTCAAGTTACAAAGAATTATCATGAGTCAGGTACTAACCATATCAAATACAATGGAAGAGAAAAACATGAAACTGGAACCAGCATGTGGCATGGTGGTTAAGGTACTGGACTTCCATATAGTCAACTATAGTTCAAGTCCTGGACCTAGAGGCTTGCTTTCTCACTCCCCCCTTAACTCCCCCGGGCTATGGTCAAATTAAAACAAATAAGTTAAATAAAATTTAATAATTATTTTAAATATATACATAAATAAATATAAAGCTGATATGGAATATGCTATCAAACTGAGACCACTGCTGAATCTCAAATTGGCAGTTCAGAGCTGGATTCACAACAGGAACACATTTGGATCTGCACTAAACATGACCTGCACCATGCTATTAAATGTTTTTAATCATTGTCAACTTAAAATTCTAGAAAATTTATGTAAATAGATATATTCTTGACTTTCTTTTCTTTTTTTTTTTTGAGAGAGATTCTTTTCTAAAGGGCACATGTGTTCGACAGAGAGAGAGACAGAAAACAAGAAATCAACCTCCCACGGGGAATGGCCACACCACAATGCCTTCTGTTCCATTCTCCTCTTGGGATTTTGGATACACACACACACCATGAGTTTTAAGCTGCCAGGTCCAGGACTCAAACTGTGGTCGACTACGTAGGAGTCCAGCGACATAATTGTTATGCTATCTGCTGGTCCCAATTCTTGGCTTTAAATATTGGAGAACCTGGCAACATTACTGGACATTCC